TCAGTATACCTTGTACCAGACATGTCTCCCAACACGAGACATACTTCATTCATACTGGCAATATCAGTGCATGCAATACGACACTACCAGATCTCCATATATAAGAGGATGTGAAAGGCATCTGCCTCTCTTCTTCCTCATGTTCAGCAGTCAGTGCAGGCGCTGCCACTATTATCTATCAGTAGCAGATAATGGGAGTAGAAGGCTGTCCAAACCCAAGGACAGAAATGTCATACATTGCAGCTTAACAGTCAGTAGATGTGGCAGCTGCATTCGTTTTCATCTTTCAGGCTAAGAACCTTTTCAGCAATTACAGGAAATTCCTGTTGGTTCTGCAAAAATGCTGTGTCCTTGTCATTTCCTGTGAGCTGAAATCTCAATTAATGGTTTCTTCCTTCTGTGAACTCCTAATTCTCCCCCTTGTACAGGAGATGATCAAAGGCAGACATATTTGAAGCCCAGCCTGGGTGTCAACCATGGCTCCCTCTGTAGATATAGTACAGTGAGTGTTGTCACCCTAGGACAGACAGTGTGTTACTGGCAGGATCACCGGGTGAAAATCAAGGAAAAAACTAATGCAGCCGCCACATCTAAGGATTTGTAAATGCAATATATGACATTGAGGGCCCGTTCACACCAGCCTGCGCACATTATGCAACATACAACGCATGTGCTGCTGGTGTTGTTACAATGTATCAGTTTTTACTTTTTCTTTCTTCTTTTAACTTTATTGAAGGGCCACAAAATGGCATTTATTTAACGCTATGCCGCGACATGTAGCGGTGCCTTGCGCTGCATTTTTACACCAGGTCATGTAGAGCACACTGGGGGGCCTTTTAGCCCTGCCACATCCCAGTGGAAGCTGCAGTATCCTATAGCAACCATAATTAGGAAGGCAGGGCAGGATGCTGGTGGATCATGATTGGCTGCTCTGGTTTCTGCACCCAACTGTCTGTCCCGGGTCCGAGTACCACTCCCCCTCATCCCCATGACAACCGCTGCAAGTGACGTCACCAGCCAGCCACTGCGGCCCCACCTCCTCCTCCCTCAGCTGTCACTGTCGGCCCCGCCCCAGCCCTCCGCTGTCACATCGGCCCCGCCCTCTACTGTGCTGTGTGAGCCGTCCCCGCCCCTTCGAAGTGCTGTCACAGGTAGACCCGCCGATTCCACTTGCTGCGCCCCGCCCGCTCACTGAATACTGACGCTTGTTACCCCGCCACCCTGCCTTCGGAGCTAGCGGAAGAATTGTTGAGTCAGTGCGGAGGGAAGGTGATGAGCTGAGCTCCGCCCCCTACCGCGTCCCGCCCAGGCCCCCGCCTCCTTCCCTTCTTCAGCATCCCGCAGAGCGGCACCATGATGGAGGAGATAGATCGCTTCCAGGTGCCCACCGTCCACTCCGAGATGCAGCCGCTGGTGAGAGCCGCCGCCGTCAACCCCCCTCCTCAGCCCGGGGGAAGGCGGGGATACAGGGGAGGGGGAAACGGGTGTACAGACACAGGGAGGGCAAAGCTGTAGAAATATAGGAACATCGGGGTGGAGGGATAGAGTGGGAATAGAATATAGAGGGGGTGCGGGAATGATATGGGGATATTGGAGGTGCAGGATGTATAGAGAGGGGTATACAGGGGGTAAGAGGATGTATACAGGGAGTAAG